AACTAAATCACCAAAAATAAAATCTTTAGGAAAATTCCAAAACCCTTGGCTTGAATGCAACATACCCCACTTAAAAACCCTTACTCCGAGTGGTGTAAAATTAGCGCGAAGAAACAGTGGTGGAGGAACCGTTTACCACGACCCAGGAAATTTAAATTTAACCTTTTTCACCTCCAATCAAGACCTAAATCGGAAACATAACCTAGAAATGGTTAAAAATGCGATTTTAAAACGATTTGGATTGGAGATAATCGTTTCTGATCGAGATGATTTAATTTATGGGGATTATAAGGTAAGATAAATGAATTTGTTGATTCAAAATTGATCAAAAGAATGATTTATGACAAGGTTTCTGGGACAGCGGCTAGATACACAAGAACGACTTCCTACCATCATTGCACGTTGTTAGTTAATGCTGATAAAAATATATTATCAAAAAGTTTACAAAAACCAAGTTATTTCATCAAAACGAATGCTTCGCAATCGACTCGAAGTCCTATAAAAAATTTAAACGAATTAAATCAAAAAATAACAATCCCCGAATTAATACAACCAATATCCAAGGAATATTTAACAACTTTACCTTACCTCAAAGACAATTTTGATATTAATTTAATCTCCAACCATAATATTCATCATGTAAACCCAACGGAAGAGGATTACCCGGAATTATTAGACTTTCGGGATGAAATGAAGAGTTCTGAGTGGATTTTTGGATCATGCCCAGATTTTACAGCAACTAAACTAATCAATTTAGATGAAAGTACCGAAATTAAAGTGAATTTTAACGTTGTAAAAGGAATCGTAACTGATGTAGATGTAGAAAATAATTTTAATCGGAAATTATATTTGGAACTTTTTAAAGACCGAAAATTCGATGAAAATCTATTCGAGGAGATTAAGGATTGTTTAAATAAAGAATTAAATCAAAGTGTAGTCCATAAATCAATAAATAATTAGAATAAAAAATAATTTGATTGGAAACATAACCTCACTTTTACCAAATTTTTATAATTAATTTCTTTCTACAACTTAATTTAATTGAGAAAGTTAATTCGAAGAGATTAAGGATTGTTTAAATCAAAAAATAAATCAAAGTGTAGTACAAAAATTAATAAATAAATAAAATAAAAAATAATTCGATTGAAAACATAACCTCACTTTTATCAAATTTTTATAATTAATTTCTTTTTACACCTTTATTTAATTGAGACAGTTAATTCGAACGGATTAAGGTTTAAATAAAGAATTAAATCAAAGTGTAGCCCAAAAATCAATAAATAATTAGAATAAAAAATATTTTGATTTAAAACATAACCTCACTTTTATAAAATTTTTATAATTAATTTCTTTTTACAACTTAATTTAATTGAGAAAGTTAATTCGAAGAGATTAAGGATTGTTTAAATAACGAATTAAATCAAAGTGTAGTCCAAAAATCAATAAATAATTAGAATAAAAAAATAATTTGGTTGAAAACATAACCTCACTTTTACCAAATTTTTATAATTAATTACTTTCTACAACTTAATTTAATTGGGAAAGTTAATTTTTATGAACTAAACTCTTACATACTTACCAAACAAGCATATAAAGTGCTAAAAAACTTATAAAGTCTTTTCACCGGTTTATGAGCAGTTTTATCAGCGTTACACAACCATTGCAAAGCCGATATACTAATAGCCCCATCGAAAGCTCCTGCTTTGAATGGACATCCTTGCCCCATATCAACAAGCATTAAATCACCTTCAACTTCCCTTTCTGTTGCTACATCTACTCAAAAAAGAAGGTTAAAAAGATTTTTTTAAGCTTAATTTTTGATTTTTTACCTAACATGTGTGTGGAAATGTCCATACCAACCCAATAATGGCCCTGTTCTTCGAGAACACCTCCACTAAGCCCAGAACCACAACCAACGTCAAGTAAAAAGCATGGGGTGTCTTCCGGAAGTAATAATAGCTCGATTGCACGCTCAGACATTTGCTCCTGAATTTCGATAATCCGGGTGCTAAAACGTTATGTTTATTAAGAGGTGATTATCTAAATTAGTGATTTATTACTTTTGTGTGTATTTTTTAGCCTCGGTTTCATTGTAAAACTAAAAAAATAAGATTAATTAATTTAATAATTGTTAAAAATATGAATTTATTTACGATTTCCGGGGGTGCTAAATGTTCCGGGCGAGACATGCTTAAACGAAATAATAATAACACGTTTTTGTGAAATACTTGTATAAATGATGTAGGTTATGTTGTTCGTCAATTTTAGGTTATGTTTGTGTTACTAAAAAAACTTATAGATGGAAAAAATTAATTTAATTAATTAAAATTTGTTATAATAGCAATAAAAATTTGTTAATTTAATTAAATACAATTGGTTTTAGTTAAAAATGAAATAAATTAATGTGGAAAAGTGATGATAAGGTAATTTTCATTTTTAAAGATTGGTAATTTGGTAAGTTAATTTTGATAATAATTCAATTAATTAATATTCGTAGCGTAAAAAATAAATTAAAAATAGATAATTTTTAAAACAATCTAAATCATTATAATCAAAAATATAAAATCGATTACATAACATAACCCAAAATTTAAAAAAAAATTTAGTTATTTTCAATTTTACACCATTGGTAACGATTTCCCCCAAACACAACAACTTCAAACGCTTTCCATCTCTTTCCCCCTTTAGAATTTTCTTATAACATCCTTGTCTAATCAAGCCAAATTTCCCTTCCTAACAAAGCGAACGGGTTCAATCCAAGAAAAATCAAAAAAATTCGAACAAAACCCACTCAAATATGGATTTTTCACATAACATAAAGAAGCATAAGAAACATAAAAGTGAAAAACGTGAAAAGGATTCGTACGGTGATAAACCGCAAGGATTAAAATTGATTTTAAAAGTGGGTAGTCAAGGAACTCCCGAACACAACACTGAATGGGGCTATCAAGGCCCCGGTTATGAAGACCAAGTTAGATCGCACCATAAAAAGAGTAAGAAGAAGAAGAAAAAGAAAGATAAAAATAAAGACCGCGAAAAGAAACATAAACATCACCATAAAGAGAAAAAACGTAAAAGGGATGAAATTTTTGATGATTGTTTGGATGATAAAGACGATAAAGATGAGGTTTGTAGCGAATTGGGGAGTCCGAGTCAAAGAGAACCAAGAACTTGTGTGCTTAGACAACGACAAGAACGCTCGCCGTTACAAAGAATGTTGGATCATTTGTTAAAAGCTATCGAAAAACGAGATCCGAATCAATTTTTCGCTTGGCCTGTTACCGATAATATAGCACCAGGATATTCTACCATTATTTCGCGCCCCATGGATTTAAGCACAATGAAACAAAAAATCGATGACAATTTATACGTCGATATGCAAGATTTTATCGCCGATTTTAAATTGATGTGTACAAACGCGATGGAATATAACCATATTGATACGGTTTATTACAAGGCGAGTAAAAAATTATTACACGCCGGTTTAAAACTGTTCCAACCTGAAAAAATGGGTTGGGTGATCCAATTAATACCAGAATTAACCAGTAAAGATTTCGGGTTTGAGATTCCCCCAGAATTAAGAGCTGGGATTCATCAACATAGTCAAGATGGGGATGGTTTTGGAGAACATATTAGTATTAGAAAGCGGAAGATGCCACAAACTAAATTTGAAGCTGTTCCTGATGATTTGGAACCTGAGGAGATTTTAGCGAGGGCTCAACAAGCAGCGAGGGAAGCCAGAGCTAAGCTTGCTCTTAAAGGGGGAGGTCCAGGAATGGGTTTTCTTAGACAACGAGAGGATGGGACTACTAATTTAAATATTTTGGTTAGTTAAATTTAATTTGGGAAAAAAATCAATCATCATGTGGCTTAAAAATCGACGGTTTCTTTTTAATCAATGTGAAATGAACCAAAAGACGCGTTAAAAATAAAAAGAAAGTGTGGAAAAATCATCTTTTGCACAAAATCAATCTGATAAACTTCAAAGTAAAGTTATTTACATTAAACTAGGTGAGATTATAACGTATATTAATGGATGAAATACTCTTGTTTTTCAAAAGAAGTAAACTCATTTTAAACGATTTTTAATGAAGATTACAAATGTCAAATTTGACATTTTAAACCTGAAGTTAGTTATCATATAATAGATAAATGGACAACTTCATGGTGTTCTTTCATGATGTATTCTTTATTAAAAAAACCTTTAAAATGAGTCCAAACATGATGCATTTATCTCAAAAAAAGAAAATAAAAAACATTAAGCTTGAATGTTTTTAGTTTTAGGCAAAAATTAAATAATAATTAATCTTGATGAGAAGATAGTTACAAACGTATATTTTAAAGTTTTTTTCGGCAGGTGGCGCTATCTCCTATGCGTCTTAAAGTAACATTTTTTGACGTTTCTTTAAAAGATATTTATTTACTCTTGCGTTAGAAATAAAACTAAAACTAGAAATTTTGAGGTTATGCCGCTATTTCTTATTCCATCGGCAGAAAAGTACGAAAATTTTGCGACTAAAATAATTTATCGTTTAAAAGTTTTCAACCCTGCCGTTACCATGGTGATTTGTCAATAAGCACCGACATCTTTAAAAAAATCATTTGTGACGTCAAGATAAACTTTTATAATAATTATCACGATTATATTTATCAATTTTCGCATTAAATGAAGCTGAAAGATCCGTTTCAAACGCAGAGTAAGTACATTCAATTTTTGTAACGAATTAGTTGTTATTGCGGAACAATGAGATCTTGTGTAGATTGCTGATATGAAAGAAAATCGTCCAAGACGCACTGAGTAAGTAAAATAAATTTTTTTTAACGAAACGTCAAAAAATGTCTCTTGGAAATGTGAGGTTGGGACGAACATAACATAGATAAACAAAAATAACACAGTTTTAAACTAACACGGCCGTTTTCGAAGACATCGGCCGCCCCCGAAAGCACGAAATGTTCATTTTCACAAATACGTGTTGAGATCAAACCTTGATTTCAATGTTTTAGCGGCCGATGTCTTCGAAAACGGCCGTGTCAGTTTAAAACAGTGTTACAACCTAACCTTACTTTTTCAAATGACATTTTTTTTGACGTTTCATCAAAAAATTTTAACTCACTCAGTTTTAGAAATAAAACTGAAAAGAAATTTGCGTCATAGAGGTTCGTTTTAGTCATTCATTTTACGTTATAAAAAAAAATCAAATAATAATCACAATCGTATTTCTCGTGGTTTTAAAGTACGTTGAAATATTTGACATGATGAGAAGATAGTTACGAACGTACATTTGTAGACTTTTCCGATAGATGGCGCTATCTCCTTTTAAGTGACATTTTTGACGTTTCATTAAAAAACTCTCATTCTCAGTCTCAGTCTCAGTCTTAACTCATTTCGCGTTAGAAATAAAACTAAAACTAGAAATTTTGAGGTTATGCCGTGCATAACCCTAAAATTTTCTTGGAAGTTTTCTTCCCCTCCCTTAGTGATTCGAGTTAGGGGAATTTCACTGTAGTTAAACAATTTAATTTCTAAATATTAATACCAACCTTAATTTTTGATTTTTGTTTTTGTGACAAATTTTAACACATTTTATAAAAATTAAGGATATATTAAAATGACATTGACATTTCAAACCGGAAGTTCTTTATATCTCGAGTAATATGAGAATTAAAATGAGAAAAGTATCATGTTTGGGCTGATTTTAAAGGATTTTTTCATGACGATTACAAATATGTCAAAATGACGTTGACATTCCTAACCGGAAGTTGACCATAACTTCTGGTCCTAACATCTTGGATTATATAAAAATGTCAAAATCTCGGAAATTATATTAACTAAATACATCGTATTTATTATTTATGATAAATAATTTATGATTTTTCATTAAAATCAAAAATGTTTAACAACCAAATTTGACACCAAACATAATAATATTTTCGGAAAGAACAGAAAATTTTAACCTAATTTGATGTATCACACCCCATATCAATCTTTAAATTCGCGCAAATGACACAATTAATTAGTGTTTTGTTTTCGGCCATCTTGATTTTATAAAAACAATGATATCTCAGATGCTATAACACTTAGATATGTCGAGTTTGGACTCATTTTAAACGTTTTTTAATTCTCCACAAAAATATTTACAAATTATTTATTTTTGGCCATCTTGGATTTTATGAAAATGTCAAAATCTCGAAATTTATAGGAGTATTAAAGAAATCATCGACTTTTAAGCAACATGAGGATTCTTGAATTATACCTTAATTTGTTTAAAATAAATTAATTTAAATTTAAGGTTGGCGGAGATGGAGTGATTCCGGGTACAAAAAAGCGTCCTGTTTTACTTGGAGCTTTAACCGGGAAATTAACAGAAGGAACGGGACAAATTCAAGGTTTTCGCGAGGACCGTCGGAACGTAGCAAAGCCTGTTAAACCCCTTTATTACGGTGCATTCGGTTCTTACGCCCCCAGTTATGATTCGGCATTCGCTAATCTTACAAAAGACGAATCTGATTTAATTTATCAAACTTACGGCTCGGATACGGCCGTGCAATACGCCGAAAGTCTTGTTGATTTCACAAAAGATAGCAATTACGCCACCTATCTTGCGGATAGCTTACTAGATTTATTCACTGGAAATGAGCACACAAAAACGAAGAAAGTTTTGGATGATCATAAAAAATTGCGGGAGGAGGAAGAAGCGGTTAAAGTTGTTTTGGAAACGAAACCACAACAAAACGTTAGCATTAAATTAGAAGATTTGCGTTCTTTGGCTAACGATGGGATTGATGTTGAATTTTTGGACGACATGGCAGCTGACATAAAAACGTTAGAAACGCAACAAGAATTACAAGTGAAGTTAGATACAATGTCACAATTACTAGATAAGCTACATAAAGTTCAATATCAACGATTATCTTTGCCGCTCCCCGCACATTTATCCCAAATCCCCGCTGTATCTGAAGAGGAAATAAATCTAGCTGAAAACATTACCGATAATTTAACAGATATAGCGAAAAAAGTGAATCCCGGCGATATCGCTTCGATTCCGGGGGTTCGAAAAGCTTTGGGGGTCGCCGTTGAAAATGAAACGGACGTTTCCGAGCTGGAATTAGAGTTGAGGCAATATTTGGAGTGCGAATCGAATTTGTGCCCATCTCCTTTAAAGAATGACAACACTTTGGAAGATATTTTAATGGAATAATTTTAACGAATATAATTAATATTTGATGGTGTAGATGTTTAAGAATATTTAATTGTTGAATTGGTGTTAATGTAAGAATTTTAGATTAATGTGGAAGAATAGAAAATGCGTAATTTATTCATTTTTATTTAATATAACCTCAAAATAGTTTATATAATGTCACATCTGTCATATTAAACAAGAACAGTGACATCTAACGGCGAATTAACGTATTAAATTACTATCCCATGATTTTTTGGGGGCTAATCTAAAGTAAAATTGAAATGTAATTAAAAATTAAATAAGAAATGGGAGTTTTAATTAAGTTGTGATGAATTAATTTCATTTAATTAAAATTATTAAATTGTTTATTTGTTTACCTCTACTATGTCAAAGTTAATTGTCAAAGTGGCGCCATCTTTTGGGGGTTATGTCGTTTTTAATTTAATTTTGAGGGTTAATTTAAAATAAAAATGAAATGTAATTAAAAATTAAATAATATTAAATAAGAAATTAAGGTTTTAATTAATTTGGGACGAATTAATTTGATTTAAGTAAAATTATTAAATTATTTATTTATATACCCCTATTAATGCCGAAGTGAATTGTTAAAGTGCCGCCATCTTTTGGGGGTTATGTCGTTTTTAATTCATTCTTTATTATCATTTTTTTTAGGTTTAATTTAAAATAAAAGTTAAATGTAATTACAAATTAAATAAGAAACGAGGGTTTTAATTAATTTATGATGAATTAATTCGATTTAATTAAAATTATTTATTAATGCCAAAGTGACGTGTCAGCGCGGCGCCATCTTTTAGTGGTTATTTAAACTAATAAGAATGTCGTTTTTAATGTTTAAATTAATTAATTTTAGGAATTACAAGCGTTTTAGGATAAGATAGCGTCTTAGGATAAGATAGCGTCTTAGTATGGGAAGTAATGTGAGAACATCGATTTTATTCGAAACTTTCTTAAATGTGTTTTTAGAAAGTTTCGCAAAATTTCCATCTAAAGTTTTATGGAAATGAGACAACAAAAATCTGCCTAATAAATCGGATAACATTTTAATAAGGATGTGGTTACCGCAACAAGACGTCTTGCGGCACAAGAACGTAATAAAATAAATTTAATATTTGCAATAATTAATTTTACAAGAACGCCATCTATGATGAGATTTTCATACTAACAAAAATATAACCTCAAAATTTAGAAAACCTGTCACATATATCTATAAATATGATATAAATTGGGTGTAAATTAGTTTTAATCACAAAATAATGGATGATTTGAAGCATAAAATCTTATCGTTAATAAACAAGCAGGTATTTAAACAACAACCGTATCCTTTACAGTATAAATCATAACAAAGAAATTTTATTGTTTTTAGAACACGAAAATCCCTTCGATGGGATTTTCGGATTCAAGTTATCATTTCCCCCAAGAAACGCTCTCAATAAACAGTAAAACTGTAACGGAGTCTGATCGACCGGCCGATCAAGATATTTTAGAAAGTATTGAGGCTGCTTATTTCTCGATGAGCCCTGATTTTGATATTTGTCGATTTGAATTAAGTGTAAGTTATGATTATTTAGAGTTAGAATAAGTTTAATTTTATTGTTTTTTAGAAATTACCTGATGTACTTGACTGTGATCAAATTCAAAGAGATTTCAAAAATCTCAAACAACAACATCAGGTTGTCTCGAAAAAAGTGTTGCAATTAATTTTGGAGCATCAAACGGCCTGTAATGGGGAGTTCCAAGATATGTTGGTGATATATGATCAATTAAAGGAAGCTTTGGGGTTGTGTAGAGGAAGTAGGAAGAATTTAGAGATAGCTGAACGACAATTTTCAGATAGTTTAGGAATCTTAGCGAATTATAGGAAACGAAAATTGGTGCAGAATTTATTAAAAAGTTTAGTAACCATTCGCAATTTACATCACACCGATTTTACATTACAAAAGTTATTACACGAAGACAATTATCCTGGTGCTATCGAGCTTTTAATCGAATGCAGAACATCAGCTAATACTTACAGGCACTTTACATGTGTTGCAGCTTTAACCAATAAATTACAAGAAACATTGGAGTATACCGAAGAGCAATTAGACCGAGTTTTAGCTCAAATGTGTTATTATTTCGATGGTGTTAAATACGACAAGTTACAACAAGCTTTTAAATTGTTGGGGAAAACCCAAATTGCTGTGGATCATTTACATATGCACTATATTAGTGCTATTTACAACACTGCTTTAAATATTGTCCATATGTATGTTTCAACTGTTGATAATACGGATGTAAATGATAATACGGGGAAAAAGATTTATAAAAATTTGTGTTTGGTGAGTTTATGGTTAAATATTACTCTTTTTTAAGGTGAGATAATAAGATATTACATATAATAATTACAATAATTATATTGTTATTTAAAACAGCTATCCAACAAAAGATGGCGCTAGTAAGAATTTTAATTAAAGTGTTTTGACGTTTCTACATAACCTCAAAAAAATTTCTTAAAATCTCACCTAATTTAAAAATTACTTTTGTCCACGATTCATAGTCATTTTTCACCATAGATTAAATAAATATATATACTTATATATATATATATATATACGTTTTTCCCAGAGTGAATATTAGCGGTGAATAATCATTATTCAACTTGACAGAGTAATAATTATTTGAAATGTCAAAATTTCAATTCAATTTAATTTTTTTAGGACTTTCTAAAGGTTTGATATTAAAAAAAACGTTAATAAATTCCTTTTTTCGTATGATTTAAGCATAAATTAATTTTCTTTCAAAAATGTTTTATAAAAATTGATATTTAATTTTGACAAATTATTGCGAAGTTGATTACAGTGTTGACAGTTGGTGACATTGCGTCTTTGACACGTCTTTGAGAAGATAGTTACAAACGTTGATTTTAAGGCTTTCGGTAGGTGGCGCTAGCTCCTATGCGTCTTAAAGTGACATTTTTTGACGTTTCATTAAAAGAAATATATTTAACTCATTTTGTGTTAGAAATAAAACTAAAACTAGAAATTTTGAGGTTATGCCGTATGTCTTTGACTCCTAAAATTTCTAGTTTTAGTTTTATTTCTTATTCCATCGGCAGTAACGGTTGTGAAAAATGTCACTTAAATAAGTGAGGTTAGGTTGGTTTGAATGGATATTTCGTATCTTGTGAGTTTACTTTTTGTGGCTGTTCCAAGCGAGATCGCTTCTTATGAATCGCTTATATGAAAGAAAATCTTCGAGGACGCACTGAGTGAGTAAAATAATTTTTTTTTAATGAAACGTCAAAAAATGGCACTTGGAAACGTGAGGTTAGATTTAATTGGAAAAGTGAGGTTGGGTTGGTTTATTAATTTTCGTAAAACAAAACGACGTTTCATAAAATTGACATTTAATTTTGACAAATTGTTGTGAAGTTGGTTACAGTTGGTGACATTGAATTTGTGTCACATCGACGTTTAAACTTTATTGAAAAATTTATTTAAAAAAATAATTTTAGGAAATGTCATTTATATAATCTATTCACGATTATTTCCCCATCTAATCTCTCAAATTTCATCTTTTACATTGACACATTGAGTATTAAGGTTTCAAGTAAATGTCAAATTTGACAAGTTGAAAGTAAAATTGACATTTTAGCATTTAAATTAGAAAATTAAACTTAATTAATAATTTAATTGTTTATTTGGGTATAAATAAAGGATAAAATAAACATCATTTAGTTAATAACAAAATTTTATCTTATTGAATTATTAAATTTCAAACGTCAGTGTGATTTTAACGTAACCAACTTCACACCAGTTTGTTACTGTCATTGATACCTGTCATGTATTTTTCATTTCGGTGTAAAGATTTAAAATCATTTGCTTCATTGGTAAAGTTAAATGTCCTAAAAAGTATCACGCTTTTTCTGAGGCGAAGTTTTTCGTGATAGTTTCAAAATAACTGATTCTAAGAGACAAAAAGGTTTAAATCACAAAAGTTTATAACCTAACCTACAAGTTTAAAGAGTTGTCAAAAATAACTCAATCACGAATAAGATCATTTTGGATGATTCGATCATATTGGTTACAAATTGAAAATACTCCTTTTTTTAAAAACAAGGTAAAATAAAATTTTTAAATTCATTTGAATAAAGTTAATGTGACACAAATTCAATGTCACCAACTGTGTAAACCAAATTTTATGAAACGTCATGTTTTTTTTACGAAAATTAATGAAATAATACGAAAAAAGGAATTTGTCAATAACTACCTTATAATATATACCTTATAAATGAGTTTTCTAAAACAAAAGGGTAGTCATATAATTTTTTAGGACTTTCTAAGGTTTAACATTAAAAGAACGTACCCTTTTTGACATTTAATTTTAACTTCAATTGTTGTGAAGTTGGTCACAGTTGGTGATATTGAATTTGTGTCATATTGACGTTTAAATTTTATTCAAAAATTTAGTCGTGGACAAAGTATAGTATTTTACTATTATTAATTAATTTTAATTAGTCTGTAGATCGAGAATCGTTCATTCCATGCTTGGTGGATTTATGCAAAGCATTATTTAAAATCGTATTGAGTTACCATCAACTCGTCAAGTGGCATAATAACCAAGATATCGATGAAAAAGTTGATTTAGAAGAATCGTTTAATAAACAATACATAAAACAAAAATTGGATCATAATTTACTTAAAATTTGGCAAGATGTGCAAAACAAGGTTTCAAATTTGTTATTAAACGGTGATTTAGCTTCGTATAAATTCGATCAATTCGTGCAAGTTCTCGGAATTGTCCATCGATTAATTAATGTTGGTGAAGAATTTTGTGGGAGTAAATCAGAGGAGCTTCAAGAATCGATTCGAAAACAAAGCGCAAATTATTTTCGAAATTATCATTCGCAACGGCTCGACGAGTTAAAGATTTTCTTAGAAAATGAAAGTTGGGAGATATGCCCGGTTAAAGCGACCTTTCAAATCACTCAATTGCAAGAATTTAAATCGTTGAAATCGATTTTAAAGCAATTTAAAATACAAATTTATAATAATCAAAGTTTTTCGAATTCGCAAGATGGGAATGATTCCTCGAATCATTCCCAAGATGGTAGCAGCGTAACCACGGGACATTATTTTATACGTTACATTGACCATGGAACCCCGTTTGATGGTGGTTTAGATGAAACGATTGTAGAAGAAGACATTTTAGCCTCCGTCGGTGATGATTCATCTTGTTATTTCTCCGAAGATAGCGACGAAGACGAAGAAGAAAATGAAGAGTTAAAAAAAGACTTTGTTGATGAGGAATACGCCGATGAAACTGTAACTAATCTTCCAGAAAAGAAGCGTAAAAGTAAAGCCCCCATTTTAACAAATACCACATTGACCGTTTTACGACAAATCGGAAAATATTTACAAATGTCGAGGTTATTACGACCGATAGCTTTGGATATTATTTTATGTATGAATCAATTATTCGATTATTATTTGTTTGCGGTTCACGAATTTTTTGCGGCCGATTTGGTACGTTAAAATGTTAAAAAAATTAAATTAATACATTAATTCAATATTAATTTTAGACCGTTTCAAGTAATAATTTGTATTCACAAAAGTTAAATTCGGTTTTAAAAAGGATAAACGACAATTTGATATGTTGCGGCGACTCCGATGAAAATGGCAAGATTCCGAAACCGATTTTATCGCCGATTGTGGATTTAAAAAGATCGGAACAACTTCATGGTCTAGCTGAACGTGTCGTGGCGGTGGAAAGCGTGATTTTTTTGTCGAAACAATACGAGCTACTTGAGGAGTATTTGGAGTATTTGGTTCCGAGCCAAAATAAGGTTATTCTCCAACAATTTTATAATCAGGTAAGAAAGGTTTAAGTACAAAAATCTATTTTAAGTATAGGTTTTATTATAACTGAAGAAAACGCCTTTATAAAATATTAAAATGCATATAAATTGGCATTACACGTAAACACCATGATTAAAAACACAATAAAAATTGACAGTTCAAATTTGATATAAATTGACAGTTCTTTTCGGTCGTTAAAACAGCGCTCGCGGTTATCCAACTGCTGTTTTATGAACGTATCCCACCGCGAAGGCCTTGCTGTGACGTCATTGGAAGAATTGACATTTCTATCCGTTTAGCCGTAGATAGCGCTAGTTAGCATAAAATATTACTATGCTGTATATGTATTTTAATTGAACTAAAACTAGAAGTAACACTAGACCTAGAACTAGAATCGTCATCATTTTTATTTTATTTCTACGCCAAGATATGCGGAAAATAGTTTCAAGTAACTTTTATTTAAAACTAGAACTATCACTAGAACTAGAATCATTTGGGTTTAGCCGCACGTCTCTAAAGACGGCGTGATATCTTATAAATAATAACGAAAAACTTTATTTTTAGATCTAAAAGCTTAATTAAACTTCTAAAAAACTTATTTCGTTAAGATCGAATCATTTTTTCTTTATAATCCGCCATTTTCTTTTTATTATTATCGAATTTGATTAATCCAACATCGGATTCGTGATCTACATTAAATTCTCTTTAAAACGAGCCCAAACTCGGTAGAGTTATCTTAAAAGACAACAAACTTCCGATTGTCACTTTTTTGAGGTTATGTTAAAATTAAATGTTGGATATCTCGGGTGTTTTTTAAGATAATCGGGTCGAGTTTGGACTCGACTTAAAGGATTTTTAATTCCTCACACGATCGTGAATAAATAAAAAACATAACCTCACTTTATAAACGTCAAATTAATGTTATTTGATATTTTCCGCCATCTTGATTAATAATTTTGATTAAATAATAGCGAAATTCTATATTTTTACTTAAAAGTCCCCCGCGAACTTAATTTCGTTCAAATCGTATCATTTTTCATTGAATTATCCGCCATTTTGTGTTTATTTTGACAGAATTTAATTAATCCAACATCGTATTCGTAATCTATATTAAAATCTCTTTAAAATGAGCCCAAACTCGGTCGAGTTATCTTAAAAAACAACAAACTTCCGATTGTCACTTTTTTGAGGTTATGTCAAAATTAAATGTTGGATATCTCGGGTGCTTTTTAAGATAATCGGGGCGAGTTTGGACTCGATTTAAAGGATTTTTAATTCCCCATCCGATTATGAATAAAAAAACAACCCAACCTCACTTTCTAAACGTCAAATTGATATTGCTTGATATTTTTCGCCATCTTAATTAATAATTTTAATTAAATAATAATAAAATTCTTTATTTCTAGATCTAAAAATACCCGGCGAATTTAATTTCGTTGAAATCGTATCATTTTTCATTGAATTATCCGCCATTTTGTGTTTATTTTGACAGAATTTAATTAATCCAACATCGTATTCGTAATCTACATTAAATTCTCTTTAAAACGAGCCCAAACTCGATGGGGTTATCTTAAAAGACAAAAACTTCCGATTGTCACTTTTTTGAGGTTATGTCAAAATTAAATGTTGGATATCTCGGGTGTTTTTTGAGATAATCGGGTCGAGTTTGGACTCGATTTAAAGGATTTTTAATTCCCCACCCGATTATGATTAAAAAAAGTACATAACCTCACTTTGTAAACGTCAAATTATTATTGTTTGATATTTTTCGTCATCTTGATTAATAATTTTAATTAAATAATAATAAAATTCTTTATTGTTAGATCTAAAAATACCTGACGAATTTAGTTTCGTTGAAATCGAATCATTTTTCTTAAATCATCCCCCATTTTGTTTTTATTACTATCAAATTTGATTAATCTAACATCGTATTCGTAATCTACATTAAATTCCATTTAAAATGAGCCCAAACTCGGTTGAGTTATCTTAAAAAACAACAAACACCACCAACTTCCGGTTGTCACTTTTTTGAGGTTATGTCAAAATTAAATGTGAGATATCTCGGGTATTTTTTAAGATAATTGGGTCGTGTTTGGATTCAAATTAAAGGATTTTTAATTTCCCACGTGATTATGGACAAAGATAACTTACTAACTTCGCTTTGTAAACGTCAAATTAATTTTATTCGTTATTATCCGCCATTTTAACGCAACGTTTTATTTTTATTTGTATTTATTGACTTATTTTTTTAGTAAACGTCAAATTATTTATTGCCAACCATAAAAAACAAAAAAATTTCATTGAAATTTATTTTTTATTATGATTCTAGTTCTAGGTATAGTGTTAATTCTAGTTTTAATTGTTACTAAGCTTTAAATTGTTGTTTATTTTTACTGAAATAGAACTAACATTAGATCTAGAACTAGAATCATTCGGGTTTAGCCGCACGTGTCTAAAGACGGCTAAACCCGAATGTTTCTAGTTCTATTTCTAGTGAGAAAACAAATCTCTATCAAATGACACCGAAATGTCAACGTCAATTTGTTCGAGTTGGATAACTTAATAATCAATACTTAACGGACCTTGTGGTGGTGAAAGGCTGGAACTAAACCGGAGGTTCAACTATCGTATAATAAGTAATTTCCGATCGATTGGATCTTTCCGTATGTTATAATTTGTGATAAATAATCAACACCGTGATTAAAAACAAAATAGAAATTGACAGTTCAAATTAGATAAAAATTGACAGTTCTTTCGGGTCGGTAAAACAGCGCGCGCGGTGTTTAGCGCCACGGGTGGTGAAAGGTGAACTAAATATAGCATCAACAAATTTAATACATTTTTATAGATTAATTTTTATTAAAAAACATAATGTAATGGTGGCTTTTTCGCCGAATATACATGGTTTTTCAAATTATAAAAGATAACCTAATCTAAATCTTAAGAAATTTTCAAACCTGTCAAAACATAACCTCCTAATGTCATATTAACCTCCGGATGCGTTCTATCCGGTAAAACTTGATATTTCCTCATAAAATTCTCGAGTAATCTAATCGAAATAAAATCGCAAGTTCCTTTTAAATAAATAAAAAGTTCTTGTAAAGGTTCCCGATATAAATGATACACGACGATCGATCGGGAATGTTTTAAAAATTGAATCAATTCTTTAACGATACTCATCGGGTTTTCTTTACACGTTATAATAACTCCATCAACTTTATCAGTTAAAATACGACAAGCTCGTTCATTATCGTTGTGCCAACCCGGTTTTTTTGGACCATCTTCAGTTCTAACGAGTTTCTTTGGAACTTCATCTACTAAATAGCTTTCTTTTTCTTGATAAAAACAGCGTAATACTGAGTATAAATTAACGTTTATTAATCGGTCTTGTTGTTCTTTGGGGAATTGCATCGCTAAAACCGCGCTTTTTTGGCATTCGTTACCTGGATGCATGTGGATTAATTTTCCTTCTGTTTCTTTTCCAATCGCGTTTAAAATCATGGCTGGAACTAAACCGGAGGTTCCACTATCGTATAATAAGTAATTTCCGGTCGATTGGATGTTTCCGTATGTTATAATTTGTGATAAATAATCATCACGGAGTCCTAAAATTTTAGCAGAGTCTTGTCGATAATACATTTCAATTAATAAACGAATAGTTGGTTTTAAAAATTGAATATACTCAAAATATTTCCTTTCTTTCTTTTTTATATACTTTTCCTGGCTATACTCCGTTTTTGAATTAAAACTGGTCGAGCTGCTTATTAATTTTCCCACAATTTCGCTCGAAACCAAAGACTCGTCTTTTAATTTATTGATTTCATCGCTAGTTAAAGTTTGGGATGTCCCATCGTCCGTTATATTACGATTATCCGTTCCGGAAGATTCAATATTTATGGTATTATTGATTTGTTCCACTTTTTCTAAACAATACAACTTTTTCGTTTTTGACACCATGCGAAAAGTAACTCCGTATTTCTCCCCGATGATGTTTTCAGTTTCAATTATAAAATTTCCGAGGGTTATTGTACCCTTTTCTTTTAATTTGAGCAGTTTCGTGTAAGCTTGGCGTTTCACAATCACATAATTACCCACTTTTATATCCATTATAAAAAAATTTGAGGTTATGTTTACAATTTATGGAACATGTGTTTAAAAGGTTTCTGTAATCGAATTCAATCTAAAAACGATTTTTGGAGGTTTAATTGGTAACATTTAATTAAAAAAATTGTAGGTTCTTACCTAATTTATCGATTTAGTTAGAATTTTTAGTTATCCAGCTGTCAAAAATAATTTTTTTAGGTTATGTTTATATTTTAAATGGTTCTCTACTTTATTTTTTAATTCAAAGTTATTTTGACAGATGTCATTCCTGGACGTTTCACTATTATAAGAAAGATGTGAATTTTTAACATTTTTAAGCACTTAATTATGATTTTAGGTCATAAACACACTGAATTCAATAGGAAATATCAAAAATAACAAAAAAGCAAAAACTAAAACAAATATTGTTTTGATAGATCGTCAATATTTACGATTTATTGAGATTTTCAGAGAGTTAAAGCAGATTCCTAGAATAAGATTAATATCTAGATATAATAAAAAATTAAAAAGTAATGTAATAGCAGAGCATGCTTGAAAGAACTTTGATTATCTATCACAAAACACAACGAATATTTTTATCTTATTTTAATTTACAACTTAACGGTAACTACTTAACCTACATATTCCGACATGACATTTGAAAGTATAAACGCCATTCAGTTATGCAACCACTTTAACAATAATTGTTGTAATCTAATATTTAAAACCTACAAAATATATGTTTTGATAGTTTTAATGCATAAAACATAATTACGTTTTCAGGTCTTAAATACACTGAATGTTACAGGAAATTTTAAAATGGCAACAAATTTCTGAAATTAGAAAAAAAATTTAGTTTTGACAGATGTCAAGTTTTGACAACTTTAATGCTATAATTCTGTTATAATATCTAAATGTTATAGCAAATGCTAAATATAAAATGAAATTAATCTTCAAAAATTCTAGTTCAAGGTCTAGTGTTAGTTCTAATTTGAGTTGAATAAAAATGTACAACATATTAATATCTTATGCTAACTAGCGCTACCAACCACTGCCACTACAACTAACACAAGGAACAACCTAGAATGTTTCTAATTCTAGGTCTTGTGTTAGTTCTAGTGATAGTGCTAGTGTAAAAGTAGAACTAACACTAGACCTAGAACTAGAAAGTATCGGGTTTAGACGCACGCCTGAAGACTAAAAATTAAAACTTTTGAAATTTAATGTGTAAAGTGTCATATTTTTGGCAGTTAATGTCATATTTTGACGTTTGACAGTTTTGTTGATTCTTAACCTAGCAAATTTTTGTTTCTAACGTATTGGATCGTAAAGGAAATTTAAAATCTTTTAAAATGAGTCCAAACTCGACCTATTTACGATAATATAAAAATTACGTCAAAATAAAACAAAATGGCGGATTTTTTGTTGATTCTTAACCTAACTTTTTGATTTTTATCGGAAATTAGTTGTGTTCGGTATCAAATTAAATGGATTTTAATAAAGATTAAGAATTTAATAAAAAAACTAAAAAAATTTTTTTAATAAAACAAATTTGTTATTAATTTTTTAATGTTTTAAAATCGTTTCTAACCAATTGCATCATAAAGAAAATTAAAAATCCTTTAAAATGAATCCAAACTCGACATATTTAGGACAATATTGAAATTACGTCAAGAAAAACAAAATGGCGGATTTTTTTGTTGAATTCTTAACTTAACATTTTATTTTTTAATCTAAATAGGTCATGTTTGGTATCAAATTAAAAGATTTTTGTTTCTTATTACGATTATTTAACATTTATCATAAAATAATTAAATTCGATTTTGACATTTGACAGATTCTAACCTAACTTATTCATTTTTTAACCTAAATAGGTCATATTTGGTATCAAATTAAGAGCTTTTTGATACTTATTACGATTATTTCAACATTTATCATAAAATAATTAAATTTGATTTTGACATTTGACAGATTCTAACCTAACTATTTCATTTTTTAACCTACATAAGTCATATTTGGTATTAAATTAAGATCTTTTTGATTCTTATTACGGTTATTTCAACATTTATCATACAATAAATAATTTCGGTTTTGACATTTGACAGCTTCTAACCTAACTTTTTCAGATTTTAACTTAAATGGCACCAAATTATACTTAACGCATCGTAAAGAAAATTAAAAATTCTTTAAAATGAATCCAAACTCGACATATTTACGAAACTATTGAAATTACGTCAAGAAAAACAAAATGGCGGGTTTTTTGTTGAATTCTTAATCTAACATTTTATTTTTTAACCTAAATAGGTCATGTTTGGTATCAAATTAAAGGATTTTTGATTCTTATCACGATCATTGCAACTTTTATCAAAAAATAATTAAATTCGATTTTGACATTTGACAGATTCTAACCTAACTTTTTAATTTTTTAGCGTAAATAGGTCATATTTGGTATCAAATTAAGAGCTTTTTGATACTTATTACGATTATTTCAACATTTATCATAAAATAATTCAATTCAATTTTGACATTTGACAGATTCTAACCTAACTTTTTCAGTTTTTGACCTTAATAGGTCGTGTTTGGTATTAAATCAAAGCATTCTTGATTCTTGTTAATATTATTTCAGTATTTATCAATTAATTTGATTTTGACATTTGACAGTTTCTAACAACTTTTTCATTCTTCAACCTAAATAAGTCGTATTTAGTATCAAATTAAAGCATATTTCATGCTTATTAAGATTATAACAACTTTTTCATTCTTTAACCTGTTTTACTCCTCCGAATTACAAAATAGAGTATACATTAATAAATAAACATTATTTATTTATAATATTTAATGTTTTTCTTTAATTTATAGACCATAAATACATCTTCCGATCTACGTAGACCAGTTTATATGACGGTAGCAGCTCAGGCTTTCGATTTTAGACAAATTTTAATTGCTATGACAAAAATAAACTGGGAAATTAAAGATGTAATGTCCCAACACAATGCTTATATAGATATAATTCTAAGAGTAAGTACTTTGAGTCGATTAAATTTATTAAAATTAATTTTATTTCTTCAACAAACATTTAAGGAGGTTCAAATATTTACAATGTGCCTAGATCAAGTTTCGCTAAAAGTTTATATCTCCGATGAGGTTTTAAGGACACTTTGGGAGAATATAGCGCATATAATAACACACACGTTAGTTCAAGGATTTTCAGAGGCAAAAAAATGTTCGAATGGAGGTCGGGCTTTGATGCAGTTAGATTTCACACAATTCTTATCGAAATTCGAAAAGATTTCGCAGTTGAAACCTGTTCCACATCGAGAATACGTTGAGAATTACGTTAAAGCGTATTATTTACCCGAAAATGAGTTAGAAAAATGGATTAAAGATCATTCCGTAAGTCAAGTAAATCCATTTTTTAGTTTTAATTTTATTGGTTTTCATTTTTAAGGAGTATTCCTTAAAGCACATGTTTGGTTTGGTGAGTTGTGTTTGCCAAAACAACAAGAAAACCAAGCAACGTCTTATACAAGTTATTGAAGAGAAATATAACCCGAGGTAACAAAAAGGAATTGAGTATTAGGTTAAGTAAAAATTAAAAATCTCATTATTTGTTGTAATTATTTTAATTGAGCACGATTTGTACTTGTATTTATCTTATTATTTAAAAATTGCGTCAATATATCCTATTTTACCGACAATACGTCAAATTTAACGCCATCTATACGTCATCACTTCGTTTAATCAAGTACCACCAAAAATCTCGCGTTTAAAGTATTAAAATTTACCTTAAAATTACCATAAAATGCCTATAACCGGTTACGATTCGCATAGTGAAGGCCCCGGATTCGTCGGGATCCGTTTTTGTCAAGAATGGTACGTTAAAACGAAAAATTTAATCACCACATAACCTCATTTTTTTTAGTAATAATATGCTTTATCCAAAAGAAGATAAAGAAAATAAAATCTTGTTATACGCCTGCAGAAATTGCGAATATAAACAACACGCCGATTCTAAATGTATTTACGTTAACAAAATTATGCACGAAATTGAGTAAGTTAAAAAAAATTAATTTGAGGTTATGTTATTGCTTTTTTCTTAATTAGCGAATTAACTCATATTGTGCCGGATGTTATCTCGGATCCTACTCTACCTAGAACGGAGGAACATCCTTGTCCGAAATGCCACCACCGAGAGGCGGTGTTTTTTCAAGCTCAAACTCGCCGAGCTGAAGAAGAAATGCGACTTTATTATGTTTGTACGAACGCTCATTGTTCGCACCGTTGGACTGAATAAAGATGTATCCTAATTGAAATATCCTTATCCTTCCTAAATTAAGGTAATCTTTTTTTAATTAATAATATTTTAGGTTAAATAATGAAAAAAAAAGAAAATAAATAAAATGAAACTGATTTTATTTATCCTTATAAAGACAATAAAAAAATTAATTATTTGAAACATAAAATGGATCAATTGGTGTTGTAAATCTCGTTTTTAATAACGGCTTAGATGGTTTTCGTGTCGCATCAAAAGGAATTCCGGGCGAACTTTTAACCTGTTTGACATGTTCGTGAATTTCTTGACTACGATTTAATTTTAAATCAATTTTGACTTTTTTAACACCCGGTGATGATAATTGTTTCGATTTTTGGGACGATTTTGGTGTGGAACTTATTGGATTTGGATTTTTTAGCACAACCATTGAGTGAATAATCACGTTAGGTGACTTTTTTTCATCATTTGATGTATCCCATTTAGTTTCAGAAAATAATTGATTCTTTTCATTTTTATCTTCATCGTTTTCTTCTGATTCGCTTAAATTTGAAACATACCAAGTCCCAGAGGGGCGTTCGAAAGAAAAATCGTAATTTGGGGGGTTAAATTCGATTATTGATGATTCTTTTTTAGGTTTATTTGGTTTTTGTTTTAATGTCGTAGATTTTTTTTCTAATTTTAATCTTTTTATTTTCAAGTTATCATCTTTATTAATTTCTTCGCTTAATTTCCTTTTTTTCGTTTTAATTTTTTTCTCAAATTTCACTAAACGGTTTACTGCGTTCTTTAACTTCATTGAATACCCGTCGTCTTTTGGAGTATCCACTTTTTTAATACCCAAAGGATAACTTCCATGAGACATTTTCTCAAACCTAACCTCAAAATAAAAAAAAAGATTTCTTTTTTATCACAAAAAACAAGGTTAAGAAAATAAATTTACAAATGCAATATATCCACAATAGATCGTCTTGATTTGCTGTTGGTTCCTTTTCCAAATCTATATTGCTCGACCATTTCGCAGATTTGTTTTGGTTTAAATCGAATTTGTGGCAAAATAACATCGACTCTTCCCGCCCTAGGATCCAAAATTAATTCATTTTTTCCGTCTTTATCATTAAAACCGTTTTCGCTACAAGGCACCTCAATTTTTTTCATCGCATTTATACTTCCTCCTGGATAACCCAACTAAAAATCAAAATCCTAACCTCAAAATATTTTTCTAACCACATATTTTTGAGGTTATCTCATTAATAAGTAGTTGTATTAAAACATGCTTCAAATAATATTTGTTTAGAATCGAATTAGCAACAATTTTTATTTGAAACATTTTCCTATATAATTGCTAGGTGGCGCTGTGTACTCGTATGACAACTTAATTTCCCTCTGAACAGTACGGAAAAAAACCCATCAAGGTGTTTTAGAGCGTTTAAACACTTACTATTATTTATAATAGTTCAACACATTACTTTAAATAGTTCCAATCCAACATTTAATACCTCCAGTAGATGGCGCTAATAAAGAAATTAATATTTTTGAGGTTATCTCATTAATGAGTGGTTGTATTAAAAAATGTCTCAAATAATATTTGTTTAGAATCGAATTAGCAACAATTTTTGTTTGAAACATTTTCCTATATAATTGCTAGGTGGCGCTGTCTACTCGTATACGAACTTAATTTCCCTCTGAATAGTACGGAAAAAACATTTAACTACTTTTAAGGCGTATAAACGCTTACTATTACAAAGGTTTCAAACAACATTTGTTTAGAATTAGACCAGCAACAGCTTTTATTTGAAAAATTTTCCATAATTCTTGTTATTTCTACCAGATGGCGATAAGAATTGACATAAAAAGTGATATTTTTGAGGTTATCTCCATAATTATTGGTTGAATCAAAAAATGTTTCAAACAACATTTGTTTAGAATTAGACCAGCAACAGCTTTCATTTGAAAAATTTTCCAAAATTTTCGTTATTTCTACCAGATGGCGATAAGCGTTGACATAAAAAGTGATATTTTTGAGGTTATCTCAGTAATTATTGATTTAATCAAAAAATGTTTCAAGTAATATTTGTTTAGAATTAAATTAGTAACACTTTTTGTTTGAAACATTTTTTAATATTTTTGTTAGATGGCGTTGTATACTGGTATAAATACTTCTTAGTTTCCCTCTGAACAGTATGACGGAATGTCACTCCAAATTAACCTATATCATACGATGTTTACTTCAAATACTATTTAAAATGATATTATTAATACAAACTTTCGACACCCCCACCAGAGGGCGCTATTCGTTGACATAAAAATTGATATTTTGGGGGTTATCTCAATAATGACTTATTATTTTAAAAAATGTTTCAAATAATTTTTGATTAGAATTGAATTAGGAACAATTTTTATTTGAAACTTTTTTCAATATTTTTGCTAGATGGCGCTGTGTACTCGTATAAGAATTTAATTTCCCTCTGAATAGTACGGGAGGAACATCAAGGTATTTTAATACGGTATAAACGCTTAGTATTATCTTTATTTATCCAAAATATGACTCAAAATAGGTCTAATCGAAATTTTAATACCACCACTAGATGGCGCTGATATAAAAAAATAATATTTTGGAGGTTATCTCAATAATGACTCATTATATTAAAAAATGTTTCAAACAATATTTGTTTAGAATCGAATTAGCAACAATTTTTATTTGAAACATTTTCCTATATAATTGCTAGGTGGCGCTGTGTACTCGTATGACAACTTAATTTCCCTCTGAACAGTACGAAAAAAAGCCATCAAGGTGTTTTAGGGCGTTGAAACGCTTACTATATTAAAAAATGTTTCAAATAATACTTGAATAGAATTGAATTAGCAACAATTTTGATTATTATTTACTACTTTACCTGACTCCACGCGTTAAATTTAGCTTGATAATCCTGTCCGGCGTTGGACTGTTCCAAAAGATACCTAAATATATTCTTTTTAATACTCGACATGAATCTTCCATCACTTGAATGAGCTAAAAATTCCACAAACGGCTTTATAAAAACTGGTACTAAATGTGGCTGTAATTTTCCCTCAGACACTTTTGCTAATTCCTCCAAGAAAATTTCAATTACATGCAATGTTAATCCCATACAATTATGCTTGACAATTAATTTTTCGTTTAAAACCGTATCCAAAAGTGCTTCGTTAAACAATAAAATCAACTTGTTATCGTATTTGGCGTTCTTAATAACAATCAATCCATTTCTTAAGAATCTCCTCACAAACTACAACCTTTTTGTTATGATTTTGCACAAAAAATTAGATTAAACCTACCATGAGGAATTTATCTAACCTCAATTGATCGATTCCGAACCATTCACAACATAAAATATTTAATCCGTACTTAAAAAATTCAATCGATCTTGTAGGGCTAGATAAATTTACAAACGACGATATCCTTTGGGCTATTTCTTCCTAAATAAATTAAAAAATAATCAATTAAAATAATTTGAGGTTATGTCAAAATTTTAACCTGTACTAAAGGCTTATCGGCCATCCATAAAGCATAAAATAACCCTTTCCATAGTACAAATGCTTCAGGTTTTAACGAACCTCCTAAAACAACAACAAAATTTATCCAAATTTCAACGATTATGAGAAAAAAAGGTTACCTCCAGCGTCCATGCGAATTTTTAACCACTTATCGACTTCTTTAAGGGCTTTTCTTCGCAACATATCATTATTGTTTTGTAATCTTTGCGTTAATCGAATTTCGTATTCGTGAAAATCTGCGGTTTCCGTAAATTTCTTTCCGTTTTGCATCTTGCTCGCACGTGTGAATAGCCACCATGGACTGTGTCTTTATTTTGAGGTTATGTTTTTCTTTTTAGTGACTTTTCGCTTTGAAGTTAGTTACAAGATTTAATTAAAAACGAAAAAATTTCTTTTTATAAGTTATTGTTAAAATTATTAATTAAAATTAATTTATGTGTATTAATAATTATTAACCTTAATTAATTTGTTATAAAATTATCTTATAAAAAAAATTTTTAGTGTTGTGGAATTTTTATTTATTGATATTGGTATTAATTTGACGTTTTTAAAAAACGTTATTTCAAGCGGTAAATACATCTTAATTAATTAATTAATATTTCAAGCTATTATTTTCATTTCAACATGTTAATATATTATGCTAAATAGCGCTACAACATATCACTGAAACTACAACTAATACTAGGCCTAGAACTAGAATCATTCGGGCTTAGCCGTTTTGAGAGACGTCCGGCTAAACTTCGGGGAAACTTTCTTAATACTTACTTAATTTACACTTAATTAAGTCAATTAAAATCATTTTTATTGATAAATAAAAATAAAATCGCCCGAAAGTTACTTCGAAAGTAAAAGTCGATCTATAGTGTTATGTTAGTGGCGCGATGATTTTTAGGTTGAGCTGGTTTTAAACCGAAAAAACTCATTGGTGAATCAAATAATCTTTATGAATCGAATCCGGGGGTATTAAATTAGGTATTTCAATTAATTGTTTATAATAATATTTAATTTAAAAAGTTTAATTTATAAAAATCTAAATTAAACATCCCTCTTTGTTAATAAACAAATGACAGGTCGCGTCGGTAAGTTAGACAACAACGGTTTGTTTGTATTGCATCATTAATTGACACTTTTTGGTGAAACGCGGTTTAAATTCGATAAAAATCGGTGTAAATCAACGTGGTGTATTCAAAATTATATCTAAATCGATTCTCGGGATAACAAAGTAAGTGTTTTAATACATTTTATTAGAAGATATTGAGAAAATAATTCAAAATCTCAATTTGATTTGATCCCAAGAACATAGATATAAAATTTTATGGATTACTAAAAAATTAACTCATTAATTCATTTTTAAATTTATAAAATTTCTTAATACTTACTTAATTTACACTTAATTAAGTCAATTAAAATCGTTTATATTAATAAATAAAAATAAAATCGATCGAAAATTACTTCGAAAGTAAAACTCGATCTATAGTTTTATGTTAGTGGCGCAATAATTCTTGGGTTGAGCTGGTTTTAAATCGAAAAAACTCAATGGTGAATCAAATAATCTTTATGAATCGATTCCGGGTGTAATAAATTAAGTATTTCAATTAATTGTTTATAATAATATTTAATTTAAAAGGTGTAATTTATAAAAATCTAAATTAAACATCCCTCTTTGTTAATAAACAAATGACAGGTTGCGTCGGTAAGTTAGATAACAACGGTTTGTTTGTATTGCATCATTAATTGACACTTTTTGGAGCAACGCGGTTTAAATTCTATAAAAATCGATATAAATCAACGTGGTGAATTCAAAATTTTATTTAAATNAAGTGATATTTTTGAGGTTATCTCAGTAATTATTGATTTAATCAAAAAATGTTTCAAGTAATATTTGTTTAGAATTAAATTAGTAACACTTTTTGTTTGAAACATTTTTTAATATTTTTGTTAGATGGCGTTGTATACTGGTATAAATACTTCTTAGTTTCCCTCTGAACAGTATGACGGAATGTCACTCCAAATTAACCTATATCATACGATGTTTACTTCAAATACTATTTAAAATGATATTATTAATACAAACTTTCGACACCCCCACCAGAGGGCGCTATTCGTTGACATAAAAATTGATATTTTGGGGGTTATCTCAATAATGACTTATTATTTTAAAAAATGTTTCAAATAATTTTTGATTAGAATTGAATTAGGAACAATTTTTATTTGAAACTTTTTTCAATATTTTTGCTAGATGGCGCTGTGTACTCGTATAAGAATTTAATTTCCCTCTGAATAGTACGGGAGGAACATCAAGGTATTTTAATACGGTATAAACGCTTAGTATTATCTTTATTTATCCAAAATATGACTCAAAATAGGTCTAATCGAAATTTTAATACCACCACTAGATGGCGCTGATATAAAAAAATAATATTTTGGAGGTTATCTCAATAATGACTCATTATATTAAAAAATGTTTCAAACAATATTTGTTTAGAATCGAATTAGCAACAATTTTTATTTGAAACATTTTCCTATATAATTGCTAGGTGGCGCTGTGTACTCGTATGACAACTTAATTTCCCTCTGAACAGTACGAAAAAAAGCCATCAAGGTGTTTTAGGGCGTTGAAACGCTTACTATATTAAAAAATGTTTCAAATAATACTTGAATAGAATTGAATTAGCAACAATTTTGATTATTATTTACTACTTTACCTGACTCCACGCGTTAAATTTAGCTTGATAATCCTGTCCGGCGTTGGACTGTTCCAAAAGATACCTAAATATATTCTTTTTAATACTCGACATGAATCTTCCATCACTTGAATGAGCTAAAAATTCCACAAACGGCTTTATAAAAACTGGTACTAAATGTGGCTGTAATTTTCCCTCAGACACTTTTGCTAATTCCTCCAAGAAAATTTCAATTACATGCAATGTTAATCCCATACAATTATGCTTGACAATTAATTTTTCGTTTAAAACCGTATCCAAAAGTGCTTCGTTAAACAATAAAATCAACTTGTTATCGTATTTGGCGTTCTTAATAACAATCAATCCATTTCTTAAGAATCTCCTCACAAACTACAACCTTTTTGTTATGATTTTGCACAAAAAATTAGATTAAACCTACCATGAGGAATTTATCTAACCTCAATTGATCGATTCCGAACCATTCACAACATAAAATATTTAATCCGTACTTAAAAAATTCAATCGATCTTGTAGGGCTAGATAAATTTACAAACGACGATATCCTTTGGGCTATTTCTTCCTAAATAAATTAAAAAATAATCAATTAAAATAATTTGAGGTTATGTCAAAATTTTAACCTGTACTAAAGGCTTATCGGCCATCCATAAAGCATAAAATAACCCTTTCCATAGTACAAATGCTTCAGGTTTTAACGAACCTCCTAAAACAACAACAAAATTTATCCAAATTTCAACGATTATGAGAAAAAAAGGTTACCTCCAGCGTCCATGCGAATTTTTAACCACTTATCGACTTCTTTAAGGGCTTTTCTTCGCAACATATCATTATTGTTTTGTAATCTTTGCGTTAATCGAATTTCGTATTCGTGAAAATCTGCGGTTTCCGTAAATTTCTTTCCGTTTTGCATCTTGCTCGCACGTGTGAATAGCCACCATGGACTGTGTCTTTATTTTGAGGTTATGTTTTTCTTTTTAGTGACTTTTCGCTTTGAAGTTAGTTACAAGATTTAATTAAAAACGAAAAAATTTCTTTTTATAAGTTATTGTTAATATTATTAATTAAGATTAATTTATTTGTATTAATAATTATTAATCTTAATTAATTTGTTATAAAATTACCTTATAAAAAAAATTTTTAGTGTTGTGGAATTTTTATTTATTGATATTGGTATTAATTTGACGTTTTTAAAAAACGTTATTTCAAGCGGTAAATACATCTTAATTAATTAATTAATATTTCAAGCAATTATTTTCATTTCAACATGTTAATATATTATGCTAAATAGCGCTACAACATATCACTGAAACTACAACTAATACTAGGCCTAGAACTAGAATCATTCGGGCTTAGCCGTTTTGAGAGACGTCCGGCTAAACTTCGGGGAAACTTTCTTAATACTTACTTAATTTACACTTAATTAAGTCAATTAAAATCATTTTTATTGATAAATAAAAATAAAATCGCCCGAAAGTTACTTCGAAAGTAAAAGTCGATCTATAGTGTTATGTTAGTGGCGCGATGATTTTTAGGTTGAGCTGGTTTTAAACCGAAAAAACTCATTGGTGAATCAAATAATCTTTATGAATCGAATCCGGGGGTATTAAATTAGGTATTTCAATTAATTGTTTATAATAATATTTAATTTAAAAAGTTTAATTTATAAAAATCTAAATTAAACATCCCTCTTTGTTAATAAACAAATGACAGGTCGCGTCGGTAAGTTAGACAACAACGGTTTGTTTGTATTGCATCATTAATTGACACTTTTTGGTGAGACGCGGTTTAAATTCGATAAAAATCGGTGTAAATCAACGTGGTGTATTCAAAATTATATCTGAATCGATTCTCGGGATAACAAAGTAAGTGTTTTAATACATTTTATTAGAAGATATTGAGAAAATAATTCAAAATCTCAATTTGATTTGATCCCAAGAACATAGATATAAAATTTTATGGATTACTAAAAAATTAACTCATTAATTCATTTTTAAATTTATAAAATTTCTTAATACTTACTTAATTTGCACTTAATTAAGTCAATTAAAATCGTTTATATTAATAAATAAAAATAAAATCGCTCGAAAATTACTTCGAAAGTAAAAGTCGATCTATAGTTTTATGTTAGTGGCGCAATAATTCTTGGGTTGAGCTGGTTTTAAATCGAAAAAACTCAATGGTGAATCAAATAATCTTTATGAATCGATTCCGGGTGTAATAAATTAAGTATTTCAATTAATTGTTTATAATAATATTTAATTTAAAAGGTGTAATTTATAAAAATCTAAATTAAACATCCCTCTTTGTTAATAAACAAATGACAGGTTGCGTCGGTAAGTTAGATAACAACGGTTTGTTTGTATTGCATCATTAATTGACACTTTTTGGAGCAACGCGGTTTAAATTCTATAAAAATCGATATAAATCAACGTGGTGAATTCAAAATTTTATTTAAATCGGTTCTCGGGATAACAAAGTAAGTGTTTTAATGCAATTTATTAAGAAATAATGAGAAAATAATTCAAAAACTCAATTTAATTTGATCCCAAGAACATAGATATAAAATTTTATGGATTACTAAACAATTAATTCATTAATTCGTTTTTAAATTTATAAAATTTCTTAATGCTTACTTAATTTACACTTAATTAAGTCAATTAAAATCGTTTTTCTTAATAAATAAAAATAAAATCGCTCGAAAATTACTTCGAAAATAAAAGTCGATCTATAGTGTAATGTTAGTGGCTCAATGATTTTTGGGTTGAGCTGGTTTTAAATCGAAAAAACTCATTATAATCAAATAATCGTTATGAATCGATTCCGGTCTTCTAATCTTCTATTACCTAGCAGTATCTATTTTTTTTTCCAACAGCAGCCAACTTCCTGCCAAAGTATCCAATCTTCTGCCAGCAGTTAATAATCAAAAGTCAAGTCTTGTGCTTGCTGGAAATAAGCAATATTCGGTCCTGAAACAAGAGTTAATGTGATTTTGGTTCTACAGAAAAGAAAGAACTTGGATACCGTTTTAAAGACTGCTTTGGAAATTAAGGTAAGTTATTAATTTAGGCAAAAGCTTGATAATTGAGCTGGAATGAAATAACAAGAAAGGCTTATTTAGTAATGTTACACTTCATAACACGAATTATTTAGTTGTTTCATTGATGATATTCAATTTTAACATACTCAATTTAAGTTAATATAATCATTAAAGCAATTGCTAGATATTTTCTAAGAATAGAACAAAGTTCTTTTTAAACCACGCGCTTTATTTTACGCGAAATCGAATCAATACGTGGATTTCTAGTCCAGGTTTGCCACTAAAACGGATACAAAGCTTTCGTCTTTCGAGGTTTCTCGGTCAAGTTATAATCAGTTGTGGTCTTAACGTATAAAGTTATTGTGAAACATATTTATTGTGATGGCTGAAGGTACTTATGAGTACGAAGTGATGCGTGCGGAATTATTGGGGGTTGAAAAACCCGATTATGAGGAATTTATGAAACGGCAAAAAGAAATCGAAGCGAAAAACGTCGAAGAACACGAAACGGACGTTGAGAATTTGAAGGTAAAAATTGATTTGAAAGGGGAGAGAAAATTTGGGTTAATTTTTTAAGGTGGTCGAAGAGCAAAGCGATGAATTGAAGGGGGCGTCTGGGAAATTGGACGAATTAAACAATTTATTATCGTTGACCCAAAAGAAAATTAATAATTTCAAGGTAAATTATTAAAAGAAATTAATTTAATTAATTTAATAAATTTTAATTTAGTTCCGATGTAGTTCGGTAACGAGCTACATGAAAACAAGATTGGGAACTACTTTACCATTTTCAACCTCCGTCGATATCGTAGATTCGGAAAATCGCGCCGATAAAACAGCTCCCACACCGAAAACCACGCCAACCGAGGAAATTCCAAACGATGTAATAGGCCAAGTTGCTACATCTTGCGGCGGACAGAAAAAAAGCGATCTTACAAAAGCTCTCGATTCGCACGTCGATAAACTAGATGGGTTGTTGGAGAAAGCGGAGTTTGCTCAAATTAGTATGGAACACCAAAGGAAGCAAATGCAATCTTACTTGAAAAAGTAGTCGCGTAAATTTGGAATTATTTAACCGAAAATTTCTTTCTCTAAATCTTTTGTGATGTTAAATTGAAGGTTGTGAGTGTTAAATCATTGCTTATTTTATTTATTGAGCTTCACACACCAAAGAAATTATTTAACCTTTCATTACACGCGGTTGTAGTTGTCAAATACTGCTGTTTAAACAAAAATGATTAAAAATGTCAAAAGATGGCGTTAATTATCTATTTGTAATTTTTATTTTGCTACCGCATGGGATTAATAGATGGCGTTACATCCAAACTAATTTAGTAAAAAAAATTTGTATTAAAATCGTGTGTATTGAAATGTTAATGTAACTTTTTAATTAATCACTTCTTTGTATTTAACTTAAATTTTCGTGGCTATCTCATCGAACCGAGTGCTTCCAATTGTATTATTTATTTTTTTAATAAACGAGATGTATAAAGTTCTACGAGTGTTAAATGTCTGAAATAAATCAATAATTGTGTAATATATTTTTTTTTTTTTCGTGGTCTTTGTGGAAAAACTTGGGTCTTATCCCTGAAAAACGGTATTCTTGTTTATAGATATTTATAGATATCGCGTCGGTAAGTTAGACAACTACGGTTTGTTTGTATTGCATCATTAATTGACAGTTTGGTGAAACGCGGTTTAAATTCGATAAAAAATCGGTTTAAATCAACGTGGTGAATTCAAAATTTTATCTAAATCGATTCTCGGGATAACAAAGTAAGTGTTTTAATACATTTTATTAAAAGATATTGAGAAAATAATTCAAAATCTCAATTTAAGTTGATCCCAAGAACATGGATATAAAATTTTATGGATTACTAAAAAATTAACTCATTAATTCGTTTTTAAATTTATAAAATTTCTTAATACTTACCTAATTTATACTTAATTAAGTCAATTAAAATCGTTTTTGTTAATAAATAAAAATAAAATCGCCCGAAAATTACTTCGAAAGTAAAAGTCGATCTATAGTTTTATGTTAGTGGTGCAAAATTTTTTAGGTTGAGCTGGTTTTAAATCGAATTAACTCATTGGTGAATCAAATAATCTTTATGAATCGATTCCGGGGGTATTAAATTAGGTATTTCAATTAATTGTTTATAATAATATTTCATTTAAAAAGTGTAATTCATAAAAATCTAAATGAAACATCCCTCTTTGTTAATAAACAAATGACAAGTCGCGTCGGTAAGTTAGACAACAACGGTTTGTTTGTATTGCATCATTAATTGACACTTTTTGGTGAAGCGCGGTTTAAATTTGATAAAAATCGTGTTAAATCAACGTGGTGAATTCAAAATTTGATCTAAATCGATTCTCGGGATAACAAAGTATGTGTTTTAATACATTTTATTAAAAGATATTGAGAAAATAATTCAAAATCTCAATTTAATTTGGTCCCAAGAACATGGATATAAGATTTTATGGATTACTAAAAAATTTACTCATTAATTCGTTTTTAAATTTATAAAATTTCTTAATACTTACTTAATTTACACTTAATTATGTCAATTAAATTCGTTTTTATTAATAAATAAAAATAAAATCGCCCGAAAATTACTTCGAAAATAAAAGTCGATCTATAGTGTTATGTTAGTGGCTCAATGATTCTTGGGTTTAAATTTAATGTATATTTTTTCCTTATTATAATACAATAAACTATATAAATATAAAACACTTCCATTAGAAATGACCAGACGACTTTTTAAACATATCCGAAGGTATTGGAAATATAATCGTTGTTGTTTTATTACTCGCAATGTTATTAAGCGTTTGTAGATATCTTAACTAAAAAAAAAACAATTATCTCAACCCCAATTTAAGTGTATTAACACAAATAATTACTTGCAAAGCAATCGGGTTATCCCTAATTACATCCGAAGCCTCCTTCAAAGCTCGCGAAGCTCTCAATTCACCTTCAGCGTTTAAAACTTTAGCCCTCGAATTTTTTATAGCCTCAGCTTCAACTGCCATCACTTTTTGTAAATCTTCGGGTAATTTGATATCTGTACTATAAAAATAAAAATAAAATTGAGGTTAAATTGACGTTTAATATGACATTTACATTTCAACTCTTTCAATTCGAATTCCCCAATTATCCGTATCATTTTCCATCTGTGATTTAACATTGGACGAAATCGCTTCTTTATCGCTCAAAATCTCGGATAAATTCTTGGTCCCCAAAATATTCTTTAAAATGGTCGTCGCTAAGATTTTGGTTGAATTGCTGCAATTTTTTACGCGAACGCACGAATTGATCGGATCTGAAACGCTGTAATAAATGACGGCTTCGACGTTCGTTGTAACGGAGTCTTTGGTTAGGACGCTTTGTGGGGGGATGTTTAACGTAATCGTTCTTATGTCGATTACGTTGACTTCGTCGATGCAAAATAAGAAGAATATTAATCCGGGACCACGAAGTTCGGTTTTATTTAATCGACCCATACGTAAAATAACCGCTCGTTGGTATTCTTTGATGGTCTATGATGAATTAATTAATTGGAACTAAATGAATTAGCTGAGTTAAACTTACTTTTACGCAGAAAAAAACCGAAAATGGGAACGTTGCGCAGAAAAGAATGATTGATAATAGCACAGCTAAAAATTCGCAGAAGTATGAACCAGATGAAGCGTCTTGAGTTTGTCGTTGAATTGTTAAGCCGTAAGGTGCAACTTCAATTCGGGCATCTCCTACTGTGTCAAAAAAATCGGTGCGTTTTGGGGGGCTTGGGGCTAAAGTTGTGGCTCCTACAACCAAAGATTTAATTAATTAATTAAAATGATACATTATTACACCTCCATATTGAAAGCTAGATGTTGCCTTTAATACCGTTACCATCTCACCATTTCTTTAATGTCAAAAATCAAAAACATGAAATATTAATTTGACGTTTATTGGCAAATTAATCAAATTGGCAATAGATGGCGTAAGTTAGAAGTTATTAAAAATATTGACGTTAGTATTCATTTTCGCCAACAAAAGATGGCGCTAACATAAAATTTGACAGTGACATTTACAATTTCGTGCGTGTTTAATTTAAACGTTGTGTTTAATTATAACTCGGAAAATGATGAAACGATCAAAAAGAAAGTGACGAAAAGCAATAAATTTAGGACCAATTAAAACAATCAATCACTTTGAACAACCCGAAAACGATAATAATATTAACTCTATTTGTTGTTTTACTTAGATTGCGGCAATTTTGATATAATTGCGTCATATTTTTTCTTAGAAATTCGTTTCACTTTTATAACGTTTCCTTCTTACTATGAAATCTTTTAATTGTTTCGGTTCCTTTTGTATCTTTCTAATTAAAACAATTTACTTTTAAATGTAGGCATTTTTTATGCAATTAACAAGAAAGTGTGTAAAAAATAATGGAAAAGTTTCAATTGGAACGATTAAAAATAATTAAAATTTGGTTAAATTGTTGGGTTAAAATGTATTAAGAGAAAGCTGATTTTAAGACGTAATTTTTGATGTGTTTTACTTTCGACTAACGTAATGAAGAGGGAACTAACTTTAAAGATTATGTTATTAAAGGTGACTTTATTGAGATAAACATTTTTAATTGTTTTTCTTAACGACCAATTTTCTACCTTCTCCAAGGTGGCAAATAAATTAAAGTAATTAAGTGTTAGGGGTATTATTAACAATTTTTTTTATAACATTGACGTATTGTTTGCGGTATTTATTTATATTTTTAATTCATTTTCGAAAAAGAAAATTTTTTTGACATTTATATCTGTCAAATTGACAGATTTTTAGATTATTAGGGTGGTAGCACTGCCTTTCAAATTTGATTATTAATTAAAGTTTAATAAAAAAGTTAATAAAAGTATTTATCATCAAAAAACATTAAAAAGCATATAATAACAATAATTGTTTAAAAAAAAATTTGCAAAAACTTTTATAAATAAAGTTCAACATTTTTCAACAAATTTTCCTTCTCCCTTCGAATTGTTGTGTTAAAATTCAATGTATTTTGCAATCATAGATTTGAAAAACTTTCGCAGATGTCTAAGTTACTTGAAATTAAATCCGTGGCGTTAAATCTAGTGGCGGCAATCTTGAATATGTTTTAGATTCAAAGATCAGGGTGTACAACCATGACATTCTAAGATTTAACGAATTTTAAGTAAATTTAATGTGCTGTACTGTTCAGAGGGAAATTAAAAACTTGTTGTTTTGAAAAATGTTGTTAATGAAAATTGTTTTTAACTTAGTTTTAAACAAATATTGTTTATAAAAAATTTTGATACAATCAATAATTATTGACATAACCTCAAAAATGTTAATTTTTATACGAGTATAGAGCCCCACCTGGTGGAGATGTCGAAAAATGTTATTAAAATAATCGATTTGGAATTAAATTTTAAACAAATATTATTTGAAACATTTTTCGATATAAACTTTCTTTTAAAATCCTTAATTTGCTTTGACAGCGCTGTACTATTCAGAGGGAAATTAAAAATTTGTTATTTTGAAAAATTTTCTTAATAAAAATTGTTTGTAATTTAATTCTGAACAGATACTGTTTATAAAAAATTTTGATACGACCAATAATTGTTGAGATAACCTCAAAAATATTAATTTTTATACGAGTATAGAGCCCCACCTGGTGGAGATATCGAAAAATTTTATTAAAATAATAGATTTGGAATTAAATTTTAAACAAATATTATTTGAAACATTTTTCGATAAAAACTTTCTTTAAAAATCCTTAATTTGCTTTGACAGCGCTGTACTATTCAGAGGGAAATTAAAAATACGTTATTTTGAAAAATTTTCTTAATAAAAATTGTTTGTAATTTAGTTCTAAACANAGATTTATTGTACTAGATAATATATGCAATACATGTTTTATACAGTTTATTTAAAAAAATCAAACAACTTTGTTTGTCGCATGCAGTCTTGTTTAAATTTCATGGCGCGTTGCCGTAGAATTCTAAGGGTTGTTACGGTGTTTAAATCGACTGCATTCTCCTCCGCCCATTGAATACATGTACTGAAGCTTTTAATAGCATTCTCATGTTTTACTTTTAATTCGTTTTCGTTTGTACCAGCGTCTTCATGGAGAGAACTGCCGTCCCTGCCGTCACTATCCAGCGAAACATGATCTTTATCACCAACAATCCAATCGTTAACTTCTGATTGCGAAGGATGATGATCATTGTTTATTTGCTGGAGCATAGCACCGATTTCTTTTAATTCTTGTTTCCTCATCTGATTGTCCAAATACATTTCTCCAACAAATTGCTATTAAATTAGCCGATAGTTTGTCCCAAGCATTGGCAAGCATGAACACAGCATCCTTAATAGAAATATTCTTCAGTGCTTTGGAAATATCGTCTTCCTCTATAGATAGAACATGTTCTAAGAGACTTTTCCGGTAATACACTTTCGTTAAACGAATTGCATTTTGATCCATAGGTTGGATAAGTGGAGTACAATTGGGTGGCAGAAACATTGTTATAATTTCACCATCATCGCTTATTAATTTGGTTTCCGATGCGTGACTTGGCGCATTGTCGATTAACAAAATTGCTTTACCACTCAGATTGTTTTCTGCTTGAAATTTTCTAACTTGTTTAACAAAAGACTCGTGAAACCATTTTACAAAAAGAGCTGAAGTCATCTAAGCATTTTTTGTCGAGAAATATTCAACTGGAAGGCAGGCACAGTTTTTAAAAGCTCTCGGATTTTTTGCTTTTCCGATAACCAACATTTTAAGTTTATGTGTGCCATCTCCGTTTGTACAAGCAAGAAAAGTTACTCTTTCCTTTGATGTTTTTCTCCCTGGAGCAGTTCTTTCTCCGGCATGCACCAACGTACGATCGGGAAGTAGTTTCCAGAATAATGCAGATTCATCTGCGTTGTATATTTGGCTGGGTAATACATTCAGCTCAGTCATTTTTTTAGTGAATTTTCGTAAAAACGGTTGTACTGCAGATGAGTCGCTAGAGAGTTTCTCTCCAACCACTTTTAATTGACGAATTCCACGTCTATTTTTAAATCGACTGATCCATCCTCTGCTTGCAATAAACGTTTTGTCTTTATAACATTTAGTAGAAATTTTCAGAGCTTTTTCTCTTAAAAAGTTAGTTGTGACTGTAGCATGTTTTTCTCGCTGTAACTGAAACCATTTATACAACTTATTTTCCATTTCTGGATATTCTGGTTTTCGCAAAGCTTTTCTACGCGCTGGAGTTGCGACACAACTTGCAATGTAACTTTAAATCCATGAAAAAGTCCATGTTAATATATTACCGATTTGAGAAAAATAGTAGAATGTTATACATACCTATTTATTTTTTCTTTATTTTTTTTAATGCCAGAAATGGTTGACACACCGACACCATATTTTTCTGCTAAGGCTTTTCCACTGGTACTACTA